TTAAAGGTAAGTATAAATAGAAAAATGAAATTTGTTACCTTCTATTCATTTAATCCCTCTTTTTAGAATTAAATTGCCAATATTAATTGTAATAATAAGAACATCAACAAGTGAGATTTTAAATATGCTTCATCCAGCCCCAGGGTCAAAACTAGAGTGAGTTAAATACAACTCTCATGGCAGTTAATGTGTTAATAAACATCTCTCGCAGGAGCCAATAGAGTGAGAACTACTCATTGCCCCTCCCCACCCAGGGAGGGCATTAATCTAGTCATGAGAAATCCTCCATCATGACCCACACACCTCCCGTTAGGTCCCACCTTCAACATTGGGATCAAATTTCAACATTAGATTTTGGGGGTAAACATCCAAATTATGGCAACATACTTTTACTAAAGTAGATTTCCTTTATAGATGTAAATTTCTTTCACAAAAGCGCAAGCACAACTTTTCAGAGCTAATCCAGTATCTATAGTTTCTCTGAATAACTCAGGTCAAAATATTCCAAAGAAGTATGTTTTGGAGTGGCATTTCTAGTCTTCTCTGGTCATATTTTGGGATGGTGTGTCCTGAACCCCAAGACATATGTGAAATCTATTAACAAACTGAACACATTTTTAAAAAAAGAATTAGTAGTGGGGTGGAAATAAATGTGATTTCAGGGTGGGTTTGTTGCCATGCTTCTTTTGCTCAGCTAAATCGAAGTTTACAAACCAATCTTGTTCTTATTTTGTGAGAAAGTGCAATGAGGCCTATCTGCCTATAACTTTCACAGAAGTAAGTTGAACTTCCAAGCATTGCCTCTCCATTTAGCTGCAAAAATAATCCTGAGCATCTTTGAATAACCCTGAGCATCTGACGGATACACTGGAGCACTTAGAGCCTCCCAGGTCTTCCCAGGAATTCGAATGGATATTTATTTTCTCCTGGATCCAAATGGTGTCCTTATTCCCTCTCACAACTCATGAAACCACTTTTCCAGATCTGTAGAACCTGCCTGACTCTTTCTGTCCAAGGCGGTTTCCCCATACCTAAACTCCTTGCTACTGGGGTGTTTTGTACTCAACAGTCCATCCAGAGCTGTCTGGACTCTGGAATTCTGTTTTAAACTATATTTCTGAGTCCATTCCCATCCTGCTGCTGAATAAGGCTTGGTTAGTTCTAGAGGAAGGGACAAATGCTTACATTCCTTTGGAAAGTTGGTGAAAGGGAAACCAAAGTAGAGCATGGAGATGAAAAAAATAAAACAAAAAAAGAACAAATACAAAGCAAAACAGCCATGTTTTAAAAGGAAGAACTCTGGCTGGCTTTCTTTTTCTTCATTTTTTAATGAATTCTAAGCAGGTTATTTTTTAAAGTATTATATTTTTAAATCTAAAAGGCAATCCTCTATGTTCTAAAATCTTACAAAAAGATCTCGAGAAACAAATGTAACCTAATTCTAGATTAAGGACAGATTTATTCATTCCTTTTTATTTTCTTTAGAGGCGATTATATAAAGCTTAGGACGATAACAGAGAAAAATCAAATATCCAGAAATTTTGTCCACAGTATCAAGAAATCCATTTAATTATTTATTTTAAGTAAAAATTATCAAAATCCACTAACAAATTGGATCTCCAAACCGGAGATCATCATGGTGAGAACTCTCTACACTTTCCAAAAGATTTAAATGCTTCATTTTTCTTTATTACCTCTCTATTTTCCTGTTCAGAATGAAATTCACAGAATGCAAAGGGCCTTTTTGCATATTTTTTGGGAACAGCAGCAAATATTTCATGGAGTGGTTATGGGCATGAGGGGAGTGAGAAGCAAGACTGTGTATTGTTCAGCAGTTTTGTGGAGTGGACAGGACTTCCAAATGATAACAGGTGCTGGGAGGCTAAGAGCTGAAGTCCAAAGGCTGAGTCCCCATCCTCATTCTAGGAAAGACAGGAAACTACAGAAATAGTCTAGGTTCAGAATATCCCTGAATTTAATACAGTGCTAGAAAAGACCAAGACCATATCCCTCAACACATACTCCATGGAATGATACATTTTATTAGCAACTCTAGACAATATTCTATCCAGATTCTGCATGAATAATTTAGAGTTATACAAGATGACCAAAACTAAATTTTTGTTGTTGTTGTTCTCTTTCCCTTTATCTCTCTTTTTCAAGAGCTCCCTCTCCATCTTTTCCTCTAATTTAATTTTGTCAACCCTAACTTCATGACATAGGAAAAACTAAATTGCATTTTTTTATATTTGCATATCGGATTCTAGTTATCTTTATTTCACAAATGACTTGTGTAAGTGTGTACACAGAATCTCTGTGCCATTCATTGAGGAATTGGGTCAATAAGAATTGGCATTTTATTTCTTTTCTCTTATTTTGAAAAATAATAGAAAAAAAATGAAATACCTTTTCAAATTATATCCCTTCTAGCAAACAATCAAACTTTTATTCTTTTCCTTTACTATTCTAGTATTGCCACATAGTTATCATCCTTTCAACTTTTTTTTAATGGGTGTGTGATCTACGAATAATACCAACTGTCTGAGGTTTAAAAAATCACATTATTCTGAACACTGTAGAATGATTGCTGGCAAATATTTTTCAGTATGTTGTCACTGAAATATCACATACAAGTTAGATGTTGTGTAATGTATATGTCAGGATAGAACCTTATGTTCACAGGTTTTGAAGATATAATTTCTAACTTCAACAAAATAGAAACGAGATATTTATTTTCAGAGTGTAAATTCATTCTGGAACAGTGACAGAATGACAAATATTAAAATGAGTCCTGTATTCCAAAGTGACAGCCTAGGCTAACAGGAAACTTTTAAAGTCAGGACAAATCTCTTAAAGGTACCGCCAATTTACCTTTTTATTTTTTTTAATGTGTTTTACATGGAATTACTTTTTTGCAGTTTTGACATATTTTAAAACGATAATATAATAAAATTATGTTTAATTCATAAGTGTTATTTCAGAAAGGAAAGAAATTTTATTTTCCATTTTCAACAAAACAGGTTACTAAAAAATGTTAGCGACATTAATGGCTACTATTGACTCCTTTTTTCAGCTCCCTTCCACCACACCTGCATGTTGTCTCTCATCTCACAAAATCAATGAAGTAGGCTCTGATTCCACATTTTATGGAGAAGGAAATTGTATTCACAGGTACTATGTGTTCTTGGCCATGACCACACAGCTAAGAAGTGAGGGCATCAAAATTCTAACCAGAAGCTGACACCAAATTACATGATTTTTTCTGCTTGTATTTTCATTGCTGACTTGAATAATGTAATAACTTAACAGTTAATGTATATCTATGAGGATTTTTATTGGGCCTTGAATTACACACATGAATTAGAAAATCCTGCCATTAAGGAATTTAAAAGTTGTCATCTATTCAGCATATTCACTGTACGCTTTTAAAATTTTTACATGTTTATTTTAAAATTTCCAAACATTAATAGCTTTGGTTATTATTCTACAATCAGTAATTCACATATGCTCCTACAATAGAAATTAACTTGATCCAATCATTCCAACACATTTTGAATTGGGATAAACTTTTTTAACATCAAAAGTGTGTGGAGCCCCACATTTTAAGTAGACAAAATTTCTCATTTATTGAGCCTGTATAACCAAAAATTATTCAGAGTTCTTTTCCCAGGATACTATTTCTAGGCAAATGTCTTCCCTCACCTTGTTCAGAGCTGTGCTAATAATTACTATGATCTTTCTGTAATAACTTACTATCTTTAATTAAAGTTTTTAAAAAAATGTGTTTCCAGGCAAGATGAACACATATTTACAGGTATATGGAAGCTGCTCTCCATTGCCTCTGTTAGACAGCAGATAATTCCGCGGTGGGCCCAGGGGAGAGACGACCACCCTGAAAAGCGAGCGGAGACCGAGACTTGATGCAAAAAGCAAGAGGTTTTATTACAAGCGCAGCGCAGGGGCGCACAGCGTCACCAGGTTGGGTAGCTGCCGCGCTGAGGCTTACAAGTTTGAGGTTTATAAAGGTAAAAACCACACACAGGTGGTCAGGGGCAAACCGATAAGAGGAGTTTCGGGGCAGACGGATAAGAGGAAATTCCAGAGGCTTAATCTTGCACAAACTACTCCAGGAGGCCGAGGGTGGGGTAATCTCGTCGGCTGCAATCGGAATTGCCAGCCTGGGGGGGAGAAATTCCAAGAAGCTGCAATCGACACTCGCAGGCAAGTTTAAGCAAGGACACACGGGGGG